TTAAATTTTTTTAATACTTTTTATCCTTGGAAACTGTAAAATCCCGATTATTTAATTAGATATCTACCTAACAGTTTAATTTTTCCTAAAAACCATATTACGAAATTAATATGAAGTGTGTATCATAATATAGGAACGTAGTCGGATTCTATGTCTCAATACAAATTTGGGGAAACAACTATTATCAATTAATACTTGAAATGCCCCCCTGGTAAGTCACCGCACCTGTCGGCTATCACGAACTTAATTATCTCTGACAATAAGAGTTTCAAACTTTGAAAACGCACATTATATACAACATTCATGGGCATAATACGACGTTTACGAGAACCGTGAGCGGAAAAGATTACGCGCGCGCCACACTCGACGACGGGCGGGTCTTTCACCGGAGATTATTGAAAATATTTTTATACGGCGACAAGATCGATTATTTTTTTTTTTATTAGATCTATTTTTTTTTTCACCAATCGTATTATTTAGCGACAGATCGCTATGTTTAAGGGTGTTAACCGAATTCGATTACAGTTACGAACGGATTGCGGTCGTCGCCTTAACATAACAATGGACTTTCTATCGACTTCTGCACAGTTTCTTTATTCGCAAAATTTCACCGCAGTTTTTCTTTCCCCCCATTCGAATTCACTGTACGCGATAATAGTATTGTTCTGCACCGTCGAAAAAACAAAGAAATCGAAAAAATTTTCACTCGAGACACACGATACCGGATCACTGGGAAGTGCAATTAAAAATGCATGACGTTCAGTTCATTATAACGAGTATACATTGAATTCGCATTGTCCATCGCACAACACTTTAACGTGACGTAAAAACTATTATGTTGAAAACGACTTGTCACTTGTCGTGATAAAAAAAACCCCCTCGCCGTACATAGCGCGATAAATATGTTAGAGCTGTTGAGTGTTGTCGACGAACGCCCATCGTACGGTGAACGTTTTCGTTTTCGGCAGCCGTTGTAGTTACTAATTCATATTTGATCCGTTGACCGGCCGTTAAGATTTCTTTGTTTATAACGAAAAAAACGCAAAGTTTATGTTTTTTTTTTACAAAAAAAAAATTGTTATGAACATTTTTTTGATTATCGCATAAAAATATCCAATACATTTTTAGTCTCATAATTACAGCCAGTGATGAGTTTTAAAAAGAAGAAATACGTGTTTGTGTGCCGTACGTCGTATACGGTATTTGGTATGACGGCCAATATGTTAGTATAAATTATATTATAGTTTTAATAATTTCCGTGTCGTATTGATGATATTTATGCGGCTTCACCAGCAGGCCCGGTTCAAGTGTTTAAGCAAACATAGGCGAAATTTAGTTTTTGCCACCCCTTAAGTGTAAATATTTTATCAAATATTTTTTTTATACAAAAAATTTTCCAGGAAAAATGCCACCCTAGGCATGGGCTTAAGTCGCCTTCCCCTTGAACCGGGCCTGTTCACCAGCGTCTATTACTATCGCGAATTAATGCCAAATTTTACAAAATCTTATAACAAAAAGAAAACAACAATTTAGTCCGTACAGAAATGTGTGCTACGCAATTCATGTTTTGAACATTATAAAATAATACCATAGTATATTTTATATTAATATAGTTTATTTATAGCCTTATTGATTCTTTTCATAATATAGATAGCAGGTATATCGTATACACCGTCATACCTCTATGTTTCTATCTACATACTTGTGCGTGTCGTATTATTATACGACATTAGAATATGCATTTTTTGTTAACAATATATATTTTTTTATAAATACGGTATGGGCTTGGGGGGCCGTGGCCCTAGCCCCACCCCCTGGAGCTGCCTCTTGCATAGACAATATTGTCCGAACAACGAACACGAAAACAAATTACCGAAGACAATAGCCGCGCGTACTTGGTAAAATATCGAAACAAGGCATGGCAACGAATAAATAAACGCGCATCGTCTTCAGTCGAGAAAACGCTCCACTGACGAACGATTTACTCCCTTCGAAACGTGCACAGGGGCGGACTAGCCAGGTTAAGGGCAAAGGTGCAATCGCCTGTCATGCCTTCGATAATAGGTAAAAAAATTTACTTTCTATTAAATTACCAATTTCGATATTACCTACCGCTACCAGTTGCCAAGACCAAGTACCCAGCTATTAAAATGACACCCATGCCAAACTTTTTAGTGGTTCAGTGAACCACAAAATTCATAATCAAGCCGCCTCTGGGTAGGCACCCTATTTCACATTGCACGTGTACGCGGTTGTACAATGTGGGTAGTTTTTGTGTCGTCCTCTCCGTACCACGAAATCCGAATATCTATAGTTTCCGGAGAGTTCCGCGACGAAATACAATATTGAAAATCGGAAAACGTATATATGTCGCACTGCTGACGAAAAGATGGTGGAGGGGTGGAAAAAAGAACGCACCCCGTCCTAGCGGTATTGATCGAAATTAATTAATTGTCTTACGCGCGTTTTTTTCGCGGCGGTTCTCGATTTATTATCATTCCTACGAGTTATACTTCCCGAGCGTCAATGTAACACACGAACGGATTAAAAAAATAAATATAAGTATACACCTAATGCGTACGTCACGGACTGGACCACTGCGCGGCGGGTGTAATCCTCCTTACGAGACTGCATCGGTCCCGTCTCTCTTCCTCTCCTTTCCTCGCCACGTTCCTTCTCTTTGGTGGGCCACGCGGGCTTGCCATTAAGAACGATGCGACTAATTGCTTTTCAATCACAACGCAAAAATAATAATACCTAGAGAATACTACAACGGCGGCGGGCGTTTGTGCACCAGCTATACGGGTAACAACGACATCTGCGATGGTTTATCCGGGACGCTGGACACTCTAAAATAAAAACTCGTGCCAAATACTCGTTAAAAAAAAAAAAAAATGACAATATGAATAAAAATGACTAAAAGAATACTCTGAAAACGTTTTTAGTTGATACTTCGCGTATGCTTTCATTATTTTAATAAAGCTTATAATGTAAACGTATTCAGACCGGAAAGTGGTTATTTATTGTTACTGTCGACGAAAATCTGCATTGTACCAAAGACATTAGATTTTACAAAATTAAACAAAAATATAGTGAATAAAATAAATATATGTGGGGCCCCGCAAAATTCTGCATCGGACTGACGTTAGGGAAGGTGCAATACCCAAACCCCCCACCCACTCATTAATGACTTATTTACATAGTCGGCAATCATCAACAATTATAATATAATTATTGCAGAATTTTGTTTACGAAAGTAGTCGGCAAATTTATTTATTTATAAACCAACCAATCCCACCCCCAGCATCGATATTTGCTAACGTGAGCACCATCATGTTGTTCCATCGTCTTTCACCGACGTACTGTCACTTCTTCCCGCCATCCGCTGACTGCGACGGCACTCCATCGTCCAGCGCAATTACGAAGTTGCTACGATGTTTAGAATAAAATCGGTTGAATTTTATTCTTTGGAAAAAAATATCGTAAAAAGTACAACTGTTCTCGGTGTTATACAATAGAATATTGTGCACAATAAACTATCATTGTAAAAAGTGTATAATTTTCCTGAGAAACATTTTTCTGTTTCCAACAGAAAATCAATACTTTTCTTCCAAAACGTTAGTTTTACTTACTTCGGTTACTTACGCGATAGCTCCGTGGCACTCGATTAAGATTAGTAACACGTAGGTAAAACACACACGAGGAAACACCCAATCCCACAATCTAATTGCTTATTTTTTAAAGCAACAAAAATATAGCAGTCCATTTTTTCTTCGTTTTGAATTATTCGTCTATCTATCACTCTTATGTCCGATCAAATCACGAAAAAAAGATAATAAGTAGTTCTTCCGTTGTATTGCGAATACGGTCACAAATTTGATAGTTTGTACTGAGTTTGATTATTTTTTTTTTTTTTTATACTTTTATGAAATAATAATATTCGTCTTTGAGTTTCCTAGAACTTCGGCGATAGGACTCGATTGGTCGAATAACTCTGTCCTGATTCCGTTCATATTTAGAACTTCAGCTCATTTTTTTTTTTAAATTTATTTACTTGTTAAAATATTAAATCAATCACAATAATTGTATTCGAATACGTATCCAACGACATTCAATACGTGTTGATACGAACAGCGACAATATACTGACATTCTCCGCGTTGACACAATTGACATTGTTGCCATAGTTTTTTCTGAACAGCGCAACTCGCACGAGCATGCTTCGGTTGGAGTTAGTATTGAGTCACTCACCGAACGCGGTAGCATCGATGCGAAACGTGGACCCCGACTTAATATGTATGCAATACCCGTTCAGATGTCTGCAGTATTGTGTTGCGCACCGGGTTCGAAATCGAATTAAGGATACCGACACAAACCGAGTTAGCGTCCGTCATTCTTCTGCATACTTGATTGTTTATTATCCGGCCAATGGAAGTTTCGTCACGGATTTGACAAAACCGTTGTTGTACGTTTGAATAATGTTACGTTCGATTGAAAACTCGAGAAGAGGACGTCTCGAGATAACGTAATCCTAATTCCTAACGTAACCTCTCCCAGAAAACGTAATCCTGATAGAAAAAAGAACCCAAGATCGTACCGTCGTGTTCCGAAAACCTTTTTGTTTGTGTGTCACGTTCGGCGTCACGATCTGCTCACAAGACTTATCACTCACGTTCTGGAAAAACTGTGCAGTCCTCTATATCTCCGGTAAATTATTTTTTGATAATTTGACTAATAATATTTAATATATTTGTTTGTATTCGAAATGTAGCCAAAGGTTTTAAAACAATAATTATGATTTTTGATTTTCACCAGTTGCAACAAAAAATTTCAATGATATTCATATAATAATTAGTTAAACTATCAAAAACAAGAATTATTTATAATTCAATAGAAAGAGGAAGATTCGCTTTGAAAAATTCAAACAGAAGTTAGTATTTTTTATTTACTTCGTTTGTAAAACAATTCGTGAATTTGAAAATTATGTAGGAAAATATTGAATCATTTGTTTACCGTAGTACAATTAGAATAATTAGTAACATTCGTGCGACAGCCTAGAAAACAAAAGAAACCAACAACCATCGACCTCGAGACGAAAAAGTTTCGGACGAGTCCCTTAGTCAAACTTCGGTTACCCGCGGCGGTCGTTATTCGTTGGAATCGCCGTCGAAATTGTATACTATTGAATACCGCCTCCATCGGATGTCGCGTTTGCGGTCAGTCGGAGGAACACAGGACAATCGGCCGAGTGCAAGAAAAGTCTGTGGTCCGGCCAAAACGTTTTGGGGTACTGCGCGTTCGTCCAACAACCTGTACTGTGCCAAACGAATTCATTATAAAAACTGTGTCCGAGTTACGTGAAAAATAATAAAAAATAATAAAAATCACTATCAACGGGCGTCTCCGATAAACGGTCACTCTTTCGCAACAAGTCGATGGACGACGGGATTTTGTGATAATTTTATGAAAGATTAACGCACCGAAGGTAGTCGGCTGAGGATCTCTGCATTTCGCCTCCGGTAGATGTCCGCGGATGCACCTGGTCCGGAACCGTCTCGACTCCGTCGCCATGGCTGCTCACAGACGATACGTCGTCCAATTGACTGAGCCAGAGCCCTATCAGAGAGGTCGTTTGCGGTTCTAAAGTGGCCGCAGCGTTTCCCTGCACGATTTAAAAACTCGTAATTATATTGTCCTTCAGTCGTCCGCAAGATTAAGTACCCGTTTTGCCGAACCCGTGCGCTCAACGTTGTCCGCTTTGCATCTCCGGTGATTGTAGCTCTGACAAATTCGACATTTCACCATTGGAGTTGTGTCGCATTCAGAACATCTGCTCAGCCACTTATAGAACGGTTTGTTCGCAAAAATATGTTGAATAACTGTTTGTGCCATCTCCTTTCCTGTGATGGACCAGGAGAAGTGAATATACTAGATATTTTACATAAAATCGTAACTTTTGCAACAATAAATCACGTCGACACGTTTAAATGCGGTTATATAGCAATGATACACAAATTTATAAACTTACGTTGTCGAATTGATCATTTGTTCGGCTAACAGAATCGTATCGGCCGATGAATATATTTTTAATATCGTTTTTAGCGATGTTTTTTAGGTTATTGAATTCAATCAAGCGATAAAAGAATAACGCATGTTTGGTTTCCTTTAAAATATCGTATGCACATAATATTATGACAGTTTTTTCCATGTGTAAACGCCTAACGGCCAACTGTATTCAATTCTACTGACCAGCGTAAAATCTACAAAAATATACTTTACAATTTAATTCCATACCTCATAACAACTCCCACCCTCAGATTACCAAAACCAAAATTCTTTACTTATGAAAACGTTTCAGTTCTAATATACACTGCATATAGAATTTCGAGTCATACGAAATGGGCTTTGCTCTTGTAAATGAATTATTGCCTACATTTTCTCTTCGTTTCCAGAGATCCTCCTCGGAAATGCGCGTCGCAGTTACGGTAAAATATCTCCACCACGCCCTTACGGGCTTCGGTTGTAAATTTTTCGAAGTTTTCTACCAATACCATAATACGGACATTATGTATGCATTTCTAGAACTTCACCTCCTACTCTTTCCCTGAACATCGAAATCGTATTTAAATATTAATACGAATAAAATATCGAGTTTGATCGGTCATCACGGGAGTTTTACTTGGACCAGGTTCACGACAGTCTGTCTTGTTATAAGGTTTTCCCACTTAGTGACGGCGCTAATTTGCGAGACCCTGGGAAAATTAAATGTTGGGTTATATAATTTCTATTAATTAAATATTTTAAGTTCAGTTAAATTTAAGCACAGTTAAAAACTATTTCAGAACCGCGAGGCCCTAGGCAACTGCCCCTATTGCCTATTCCCACCGTTCCTGGAATATTAGACAACATCAAAAATGATAAACAAGTAAGCTAGATAGAATAAATAACTTTTTATTACTTAAAAAACAAAAACATTCAATACATTAATAAAAATGTACTCATTTACAACCTTTTAGTACAAGATTACACGCAGAAAATGTCAAGAGGTATTTGGTATTTTGTTTACACTTTTAAATATTCTTATTCTTTAGTCTTCTTGGTCTTCTAGTTCTTGGCACTCAGTTATTCCAGTAAAAACAGTAATGCACAAGAATAAGTAAATGTTTTCAAACTACTTTTCTTTACTTATGAAAATACAGTATAACAATAAAAATTAATAAGAAAAAAAGAAATAATGAACTATTTATAAACTTAAATCTAAAAGTTCTAAGTCTTTTATTTTTACTGAGGTATGAGCAATACATATCCATGTAACACAGTTTTCATATAGTTTAAATGGTCGTTTAACATTACAAAACAATAATTTAAGAAAATCATATAAATAGTTTAAATGAAGATGAGGGGCTTGTTTAAAAGATTCATTCGTAGTTAATTCCATAAACTTTTTGCATTCCTTTGTTATAGTGTCTGCCAAATTCACATTCAGAAGATTTCTATAACAATAAAAAGATTCAATATGATGAACATAACTCAAGTACTTTTCAACCTACAGTGAAGTTAAGCGAATAGGTGTGTAACAGTTAATAGGCCAATTTTCAACACAAGCCTGACATTCACAATTAAACTTGAAAAGATCTGACAACTCATTAATTCTAGTTTCTTTATTTTCTTTCTTGAAATCAACACCATAAGACATCAGTAACTGTAATCAAAATAGAAATCTTACAAAAACAATTTTTAGAGCTTAAAAGCAAAAATAGTAATTGAAGTATTAAAAGTAGTAAAAATGAATTTCAAAATAAATATAAATTTGTAAATCAATAATATAAAAATATCAATTAAGAGAACGTGATAAATTAATAAAAATGTAAAAAGCAAGAGATGATGTACACCGTATTTGTATCTTCCTCCGGTATACCAAAACGCTGATGATCGCATTCAATCATAAGTGATTTCGGGAACCGTACATTATTCAACAATCTATAATTTATCTCCATGATTTTATATGATTATTATAGTACCATCCACTTTTGTAATATTATTCAGTCAACTTCACGCTCTTAATAATAATATTAATAATATTATGACAATGCTCAGCTAGTTCTCTTTATTTGATGAAAAAAATTGATTTAATAATTACAGATTTAACCCAAGTGATTCAATCCAGCTCCAATTGGTGTATAATCCTTTTAAGTTTTATTTTGAAAAATTAGGTTCTTAAAAAAAGGTTATACACTTAACAAATATTGAAAACCAATTTTGTTTTAGTTAAATATTAGTGATTTAATTTAAATCAAATACAGGTATATAGAAGATTTCAAAAATGTTCAATTAGTAATTTGAAATATGTATGAATTTTCAAGTTTAAAGGTATTTATAAATGTGAAAAGAAACTTCTCATAAGCAGATACAAGATTTTTTTTTAACATTTTAAGAAACAAATTTTTATAAGTATTATTAATTTAATTACTGTTGATTATTTTTGTATAAACATTATTTTATGAATGATTATGAATAACCTCTCCACCTCAGGTATAGGTTAAGATAAGTTATCAATGAACATTACTTAAAAATAAAAATATAAACTATAATCACCTGACTTCCTTTAGGAATTGGTTGTATTGCTTTCATAACTCTAATTCTGTCACTCATATCTCCACTGCATCGTATGTTTGGATCACAAGAATGGTTAAATAAATAAATTGTAGGATATAAAGAATATGCAATTGGTAGAGTAGAACGTTTCGTCAATTCAGCAGGTATACAAGGTGCATTCACAGTTAACTTTCGACAATGTGTATCCAAAATGAATAACATACGTACTAAAGAAGCACCAATTGTATTTAAGTAACTATTTGGGATATCAATACCGCTTATCATCAAATATTCAAACATTACTGCACCAAGGCAAAAATAAAATAGCAGTAAATCCATTGATATTTCCTTTTCATTGCAATGCATAGAAAAAGCAGTAACAAAATTTTCAGAATTATAAACATGAGAATCGCTGAAGCCTCTAACCATAGGCTCTTTATAAATCTCAAGCAATTTTTTAACCAATACATAATAATTTATCAAGTTCAATTTGAAATATTCACGGACAAACCACCTCATAGCAAGTTGATTTAAGTTTATATCTCCTGGTAAGGATTTGATGGAAAACATAATTGGACATTCTAATGCATGACCATCTTCATTAGCCTTTTGCATACATTCTTTGCTACAGAAATAAACCTACAAAAAAGTTTAACACATTAAAATTTTTTGCTAGTTAACAATACAATTATGGTTACATATGTCTGCAGTCATATTTAAAAATAAAATACAAATTTAAATTGAGTTTGAATTGAAGTAGTAGTCTTTTGGAATCAAAGGTATACTTAGTAAAATAACTGTTTCTGGAATACCACAGAATGTATAGATAATTGCATCTATTACACTTTTATGTACAGTCTTAATCTTAAGTCTTGGAAAGTAATAAAATTATAGAGGTATGAGGTTTATTACACAAAAGGATTATTGGAACTCCAATTTTCAAACATAAATTGTGTAAACAAAGGAACTCTACAGGATACTGAATATCTTACGTTTAGTAAGTCCACAGATTAATATTTCAATAGAAAGTTATGTGTATGAATAACTCTTTTTTTTAAATTGTAGCAAGGCGTTCTAATGTGAGGTATTAGAATTCTGATACTTTCTCACGAAAACTTTTCAAATCCATAATGGCTGCACAAAAAATATTTGGAATGTCCATTTTCCTATCATTATATTCAAATAAAACCTAATATCCTATATGAAGTTGGAAAAATCCTCTGCTTCAGGATGGCCTTTAAGGTGCACCTTCTATTTAGTAGATTCTATACCTCCCTTGTGAGCAACAGTATTCTAATCCCTAATTATCAATTAAAATTTCTTAAGCTGTATTAGTAAAAGTACTGGTAACCAAACTGCTTGTGTACACTCAATACTTCTTATCCATCTTATAGTATGGCCAACGAAAAGTAGGATATCAGAATGTTTTCCATCTAAAATAATTTTCAATAACATAATAACATAATATAAACAAATAAAGTTTTTATTTTTCAAATAACTTTTATAATTTTACTAATGTTTAGTTAATATTTACAGTAATAATAACAATAATTTCATAAATAATATAGAGATAAATACATTAACTTTAGAAAAAATTGTCATCATAGTCTTCGTCAGGGTAATGGTTATTGGCACTAACAAACACAATTTATCCCTCTTCTTTCATTAAATCTTCATCTTGAATTTTGTTACAATTTTTGCAATATTTTGTCTTATTCTTAAGTGATTGGTTCTAAAGCATTGTTTACTAGTTGTTCAATATCTAATTTAGAGGTATTATTTTTTTCAAACACTTCCCCCTTCATTTGCGCTCAAATCAGTTCAAGCATTGTAGTTTTAACTTTTTCTCGTAGTTCACACAGTTTTTCTAAGGGAAGAATAATATATAGATTTTTTCAAGCCACTTTAGATCATCTGTTTTACGAGTGTTTACTTTCAAGTAATATTCGGCTGGCATAGAATGGTAGGAAACATTGTCCATTACTATTACATATGGTTTTTCTAAAGTGGTTAACATATCAATAAGCCATTTTTTTAAAAAAATCTCTTATTTGTGAGTGTGTCCAACTACTAAATTTACAACAAAAGAAGTTAACTCATCATGGCATACAATAAGTCGACTATCCTTTCCAATCAGTACTTTGAGTTCTCTAGTGTTTTCTGGATTTTGCCAACAATGACCTCAAGTATGATTCTGGTTTATCCAATCTTGTCCAAGTAAACTACTGGCCTTATGTCATAATTCTGTCTCAATTGATTTAATTTTCATAAAAATTTCACTCAAACGACATTCCTCTCCGTAAGAAATGTCAGCCCATCATTACATTTTCTGTACTTGAAGTTTAAATTATACAATAGTTTTGACAGACGATATTGAACCAGGATATTCAATTTTTTCTCACAATGCTATAAATATTTTTTCAATCAATTGATCATTATCATAAGAACTATGAACAATTCTTCTGACAACTTCATTGTCAAAATTATGGATATCTTAATTATAGCCATTAAGTATGTATTGTGAAAAATATTAAACAAAACTGTTAAAAAAACATAATTTTAAACAATATTTTAACAAAATTCCAACTTTAAAAACATGCACTAATAACATAAACCAAGGATATATATCACAGAAAATAGGTATAAAACGTGTACCATGATAAAACTTTGATAATTATAACCACACAAAATGCTATCATATAGTTTAACTTAACTTGTACCATTAATATACGATTTGTAGTATATGCCAACCCTAACAGAATTATGAATATGTTACCCTAAAATGCGTCAAAAGACCATGTTAAAACCACATGCTATATCAATTACTATCTATGAAATATGCTTGCTACATGTAGTCATTTCTAGTCAATTTTTCCAAAAATAGAACCACTGAATTTACGAAAAAAATAGCTGATAGGTGCATGACAATCACGACCTTCTTTTCGTTGGCCATAGTATATTATCAATACATTAAATTCAAGTACACACCACAGAAACCTAGAAACCTGTTAGCTACCGTGCTCCACTTTAACATCAATTTTTTTTAAATCCTATCTTATTGCACACTTGGAATATTTTAGAGGAATTACTAATCCAAATCTAAGTCCATACATTGACTAGGTTTTGAGAAATAGCTATCAATAAGTGAGGGGTATTTGGCTTTTATATAGATATATAATTAAAAATTCAAAATGATTAAAACATATTGGTGGTTAATTAATTTAAACCCTAAGGGCTACAGAAAATCTATTTCTATACCACCACTGACAAATATTGATCATATTCCATGCATTTTATTAGTTCTGAACTAAAATTGAGTTAAGATCAAAATTGACTTATTTAATTTTAAGTAAAATTTTAAATTCATATAATCACTAAAATTATTCATTCAATATATTACAAAATTAGCATCAGGTTGTTGCTAATTATTAATGTACTATAGTTAGGAATTTCAATAAATCTATAACTTACTAATGAACAGTTTGGACAGGGTATAATAGAGCAAGTCAGTTTCATACACTTGTCATAATGGCATAATAAACTATTATGAAGAGAAGCACCACTTATATAAGGTTCGTCAACTGCAACAACATCACCTATAAATCAATATATAATGAACAAAAATCAAATATTAAGATTTAATACTTGTTCAAGGTATATTAAATAAAATATTTAAACCAAAGAATTAATTTACAATTATGTAACAGATAACTCAAATCATTCAACTTTTCCTCAAATAATACCAAACTGCTTTAAAATTAATTGGTTAATAGGTTAAGATTAATACTTATACAGCATAGAAGTTCAAAAAAAAATTGATTAAGGCTGTTGGAGCATAGCATGTTTAAAGGAGTATAATTTGGCATTTTATACGACTAATACATTTGGACTGTCGTTGTGCGAGTAGTAAATAGACATAAGTGTATGTACTCCGTTATCACATTTTCTCGCCCATCTATTATAAATTCTCGAAACTATGATAGTAATTAAAATTTACATTATACAAGATTTTATCATTTATTAATACCTACACATGTAATGATATTTCAAATAATTCTAGTTGAACACTTAAAAATTAAAGCACAAATAATTAATAATTCTTGCGTAATTTATTTAATTTAAAATTAAATAATAATAAAAAAAAAGACATTATTTTATGCATTGGAGTTATAAGCCATTTCTAATGGGCAATCAATCCACGGTCATATCTTGAATTAATTATTTCTATAATCAAATTATTCATATAAAATTATGTAAATTGATGCTCCATGAAATTGGCCCAAAAGTCATAATCTCTCAATATTTTTTCAAATTAGACACCTAGATTTGTGAAAATAATTATAATTATAAATATTATTTAAAATGTGTAAAGAAACTAGAAATTGTATTTACCTTTTGTAGTCCAAATACAAAAATAACAATAATTTCTCTGGTACAATATGTAATGCACCTTGAACTTGATAATAATAATTTGCATTTGTTTTTAATTGTTAATCATTATTTTTTAATACACAATAATTTATTATATTGTTATCTCTTACTTCTTTTGGAGACATTTTATTTCTACTAATTCATCATCTCTGATCAATCCATCTGGAGAGGCAGCTAAGTAGAATTTTTCAATATCTACCATCAATCCAGATGGTTCAATATTGACACCCAATGTATATGCCAACTATTCTTTTGCCTCTTCTTCATGTTCAACTCCATATTTAGTTGATAGATTTCCTTGAAATATTTTCCTTCCGTACAATATCGTTTTTATAGTTTTGACTCGTGAAGTGGTTAATCTAATATAAAATAATTAAATTAAATTAAAAAGAATAAAAATTAAATTGTTATTTTTGGTTGATACTTTTAAAATAATAACAAAGTACCTATTATTAATTGAAACCCATCCTAAATCTATTAATACATTTTAAACAATAATACCCATACGCTTTAATTTTTATTTTTATTTTATATTTTATTTATATGGATATTGAAGAAAATATAAGAAATAATTTTAATACATTATTTATAAATTTAATTATATACTTTGTTTTTTAAAATTATATTAATTTAGAAGTATAATGTGTAAGCTTCTCTGTAAAGTCGCTCTAATGTGAACAATATTATCATTTTTATAACAAAACATTTTTGTGTATATGGTAATATGGTTATTTTGATAATTAAAGTCAATTCTTTTTTTACATTCTCTATGCCAATCTTCACACTTTTGTAGCCTTTTGGAACTCTTTTCTAAGGAAATAATGTCTTCTTTTGTAAGCTTCAGGCTATTTAGATACAAATTTGTTCTGTTATTTAATTCCGATCTCGAGAAATCTGGATGTGAAACAAAGTAATTGCCGCGCAGTCGTTTGATACGACTAACCAATAAACTACGCATTCATCTTGGTACATTTTCACCTTTACTGCTTATTTTATTTTTTTGAAAGCTCATGAAGTTTATTAATATAATTCCTCAAAATATGGTTGGAACATTCTATTTTTTTAAAAATGACGTCAGGACCATAATAACGTTTCGCCAAACGTAAACGTTTCATGACATTGCTATTGCCATCACCCATATTACAAATATAATGTATGATTACAAAAATAAATTGAAATATAATACAATCTATATTTATAAGGGTCACTTGATACTTGCTACGTGTCAATTTTTCATAAAAATAACTTTTTTTTTTCAGAAATATTTATTAGAAAATTAATGAGACTAAAATAATTTTTCGTAACAACTAGCCCCAAACTTTCCTACTAACCAACTAACAATTGTATTTTATTTTTGAAAAATTATGTATATAAACACAAAATATGTATACAACATAAAAGATAATGTTTGACTTAGTGCTTACCAATCATCCAATTATATATTAATTTATGTATTTCTAAACTATTTTTAAAACCATCCACTAAAATGTCTGCTTCCATTGCAGTTGAAGGTGCATTCCAATTTTTAAACCAGAAATGATCTTTACTTTCTAACTCTAATTTTGAAAACCGATAACAAATACAACAATATTTGTTTCTTATGTCTATGAATAAAATTTTTTTGGTTCTCTGACCAATTATACAAGACTGAAATTATATTTGTTAATTATTAATAATAAAATGATATAGCTATACTATATTTACCACTCCTGATAATACACAACCGGCGTTTTACAGTCACACTAAATAACAAATGGAGCAGATGGAGAAACCAACGAAATGGCCTACCACAAGGCAGTGTATTAGCGCCTATGCTATTCAACATATACACCAACGACCAACCCATCATCAAAGAAACAAAACATTTCCTATACGCAGACGACCTGGCCCTAGCAGCACAGGACACAACATTTGAAATAGTCGAACGTAAACTCACCAGATCACTTCAAGAATTAACAAACTATTACACAAAAAAACCAACTAAGATCCAACCCAGATAAGACACAGGTATGCAGCTTCCACCTTAGAAACCGCGAGGCAAAAAGAGAACTAAAAGTTGAATGGCTTGGAAAACCACTGGGAAATACAGAACATCCAGTCTACCTAGGGGTCACACTGGACAGAACCCTTACATTCAAAGAGCAGTGTAAGAAAACTAAAATGAAAGTTGAAGCAAGGAACAATCTAATATGAAAACTAGCAGGTAGCAAGTGGGGTGCAACTCCAAACACAATCCGTACTACTGGATTAGCACTTTGTTTCTCAGCAGGTGAGTATGCTTGCCCAGTATGGAACCAATCTAAACACACAAAACATGTCGACACGGCCCTTAATGAGACATGTAGGATAATAACTGGTTGCCTTAAACCAACGCCACTTAAATATATATATCCATTAGCAGGAATAGTCCCACCAGAAATACGAAGACACGCGGCCACATGCATAGAGAGAACCAAACAATCAATGGACCAAAGACACCCCATGTATGGTTACTTGGGCCCCCCAAAGGAGACTTAAATCTCGAAGAAACTTTATTGCCAATTCAACCACGATCTATGTTACACCGGAACAACACAGAATTAAAAAGTGGAGAGAAGAGTTACAATGCAAAAAAACCTGTCCCACCGGCCGAGCATTTACCATGTGGAGGAAACCAACCCTGGATTATATGGAAGACATTAAATAAGTTAAGAACTGGAGTAGCAAAAACAAAAGTAAACATGAGGAAATGAGGATACCAGAAAGAATCGGACATATTATGTGAATGCGGTGAAGACCAATCAGACGACCACTTACTACAATGCACCTTAGCATCACCAAGATGCACGACTGACGACCTGGCTTTAGCCAACGAAAAAGCAATATCGGTTGCTACTCACTGGCTAAAACAAAATATCTAAACACTTATCTATTCATTAATTTTATATTTTGTATTTATATTTTAACCTACCTATTAACTTATTGTTAGATTATTTTATTATTTTATTAATAGCATATAGTCACAGCACCGGACACGATAAGAAGAAGAAGACTCCAGATGATGCATAGTAATTTATTTTTAAGACCTTTTACTCCAAGCACTGTCTGTAATTACAGCTATTTTAGGACGTCCATATAAATCTACCTCTCCTCTTTCGATAGCCAACCTTGCCTTTTCCTTACCAGCAGCTTCTATCTCATTCCAAACTAAGTTGTACATATGATGATAAACATCATTATGTACATTTTGATACATACAATTACAAATATTTAACATATTAAGGGTAGCACAAAAATTTCTTCCATTTGTGAAAAACCTTAACCGACATTAACGATCGCTGTCACCATTGCCATATTAATACTTAAATTTTTTTTTTTTGGATCTTCATTAAATACATCTTCAGTAAGTCCAAAATTATTCCATTTAAAAACAAATGTACTAATAAAGCCTTTCCTTATTTCATTCACTAAATGTAAACCACAAAAAGAACAATCAAAACCCTTATGGTGAATAGCTTGAATAGACATAATGATAAAACTGTATATCTATTATTCTTCTTCCATTCATTTCAAAGGTCCTAATATTAATAATATCATTAATTAAGCATATTATACTACTATAAATACATATATATCATTAAAATACCCGATGTTGAATAAATTAATATTTCTAAAGCTTTTAAAAATGTTTTGATTAAATTAAGTGTTTCCGCAATATTGATTACACGATAACTCAATCGGAGGGTTTTAAAATTCTTACAGAACATTTTTAAAAACATTTTTTAGACATAGTGTATATTTCAAAATATTTTGACAGTTTTTATACTTTTATAGGTATTTGAAATTTCAGTAAAATTTAATTAAATTACCATCAATATTTTGTATTATCTTGTATTCCATTTCTAAATCTTAAGTATTAAACCTAAAAGTTTAATTCATTTTTAACTATGCAAAGATGATGCATTTGAATATGTTATATAGAGAATAACAATTTTAAATCTAAGAAAACATAAACAGTTCAAATATCAATACGTAGTACAGAAAACGTGTAAATGCTTTCAAAGTTATATCATCTAAATAAAATATTTATATAAACATACATTATTTTAATATCTCAAAGAGTTTTCCAAGTTTCAATAAAAAATTTAAAAAAATTATTTAATTTCAATGAAACCTGATATCCCGTAAATGTTTTTTTTATAATTTTTTGTTAGTTTTCCTTAAATATTTGGAAAATTAAAAACTTACTTTCTAAATATTTCAATAAAACAAAATGTCTCGTCAGTAAAACAAAAATGTAAAAAAAGTATTAAGTACATAGTATTTTAAAGACGTATAATAGTAATTTTAAAAACATTATAAGCTTGCAAATGTCATACATTTAGGTAAATCGAACCTACAAATATTTAAATACTGATTACTTACTTTTCACTCATACTATCATATCCAGATGAACCTGCTTCTGATGTCGCTACTTCAATATTAGTTTCAATATAATTATTTGGCGTGATTATTCCTGGAAAATTCATATTAGAACCAGTTCCAATGTTCTAAAAGATTTAATTTATTTTATTAAAAATCGATAATTAATGGAATTAAAAAAATTAAAATAAGTATTTAAATAATAAATTGTATATTACTCGATTGTCATTGACATTTTTTAGAGGTCAAGTTGGCTAAATTATGTTTTGGTTTTTTTTTTTTTGGAAAAAATAACTTGCGTCGTAATTTTGTTCCAAAATACCAATCTTTTCCCATTTTAAAAAAATTTTTTCACTGTTCAAATTAAAACTATTTTATGTATAACCACAACTGTTCACTAAACTGAACACCAAAAATCAAAACACTATAAAAGTGCACAATATAGCAAAATGAACGAGTCGCAGTAAATATTTCTGTACCCGTTTCTGATTCCGCAATCGTTCAGTCGGGCACCAGCTAATGACGGTCATTATCACGATAAAGACTACAATAACCGATCGACTTTTAATAATTTCAAGAACAACCTCATAGCACATGCACAAGTCACCAAATTTAGGTATTGAATTTTTTTTGTTTTCAAAATTGGCACGACAAAGTTAAAGATTTATTTAGATTCTTTTAATGACCCAATTTACATTTTGAAAATAGCTGTGTATTAGTTAACCTACTACCGATACTAATTGTAGGCTAGGTTATATAGGAAAAATAATTGAGATTTTAGAACGGTTTGCATGTAAATAACATAAAATTAATTTAATGGGTTTTAAGAAGTTAACAGTATTTTTAAAGCCTTATTGAATAAAAAAATTAAAAATATTTCTCCTACATAACCTACAAAAGGAATGATGAATTCATACATATATTCAAAATTGAAATTGGACATTGGGAAGTATTAAACTAATCTTTCTCTTATTGGTCTAAAGGCATACAAAATACAGCATGCTCCAACAGCCTTAACCATCACCATCAGTACCAAGACGACTCTGACAGATACCATAAATTATAAAATATATAAAATTTGTAGGCTACAATCTTTAAAATACCAGTCATTAATATATATATAAATATATATATATATATATATATATAACAGTATCAAAAATGTGCAGACATAATACTTGAATGCTCCCTTAATGGTGTTTGATAACAAATCCTACAATATCAATATAATGAATAATCAAAGACTTACCTGGGTTAATGTCTTCTGTAGCAAATACTCCTCTTCCCATTGTTGGAGAGCACTGGAGTTTAACCAATTTAGAAAGTGCTGGGATGACAGGATGTTTTCCGCCACTTAATTTTTCAATAGAATGTTGATCTACAGGAATATTCCGCTCTTCCAAATCATCACATTTTTTAATATACTCTTTTATTAACTTTTTATGCTGGGACCTCTGTTCTGCTGTCATAACACCATCATCTAGACGCTTTAAGCATTCACTATAGTTTAATTTGGCTTTTTCTCCTCGTCCCAAGTTGTATTCAGTATGACCAGCCTGCTCATATAACTTGTACAACAATTGTGTTGGGTACTGTGACTCTATAGCTCGGCGAATGTCAGTTAAACAAAGTTCGTACCTAAAAAAAAATGTTAATAGAAATGTATACATAAAAATCGTAGGAAAATGAAAAATATGTAATTGATAATGGACATTAACAATATTATTGAAATAAATACACAAATAATAATTGTAGGCCAATAATAACTTATATTATACATGAATAGTTATACATTTATTAACAAGTATGAAGAACTTACCTAACCTCAAGCGGCAGTTTCCATAGATGGTAGTACACGGCAGAGCGGTAGGCCAATGCGTAAGCATGCTGAACAGTACCTGGCTCAGTATACTTCACGCACTTCGTGTACGTTTTGAGCGCCAACACAAAATCGCGGCCGTGGAAGTGCTCGTGGCCTATGCGTAACAACTTGTCCGTCATCTCGCGTTTGATCATCAACTCCTTGCCAGGCCGCATCAGCTCCGTGGGCAGCATGCCGTGTACCTTGAGCAAATCACGTGCATACGCGAACCGAAGTTCCGGCGAGTCCAGGCCAGCTAGCGTCTCGTACACGTTGTCCAGCGAGCCGGTCATCCGAAACCGTCTGCTGTAGAACGAGAAATCGGGATCCATGGCAGATCGATATGAATTATCGAGTTTTAACGTTTTTCCACGATCAATCTGTATCGCTCTTTATGTGACCCAGCGGAAACGTGACCATAGATTAGTATGTAAAACCAATTAGTGTATCTAACTAAACGCAACGGGGGTACGACGTTGAAATAACCGACAGCGCGTCGTACCGGGACGGAGCCGCGAATGTAGATTGCCAACATAAATTGCCACGGCGAACTCGGTTCGAAAGACTTGCCATTCGACATTTCGCGACCATTGGTTGGCGAGAGTGTCAATGGTATGACCGCCATTGCGGTGGCGGTCCCAATATTTCTCGGAACCAGCGCGGACACGGGTACCACGAAATCAAGCGGAAAAACCGTGAGACTATTTATAAATTACATCGTGCAATGTCGAGCTACGAAATGTCATCGATTGAAATATTGTATTACAGCGGTTCTCAAACTTTTTTTTTTGGACTCAATTTAGCCACGGTGCCCTGATGTGATTAACATGAAAGACAGGACAAAAAAAAAATTCATTGATAACTAATTTTATTAATTTTATTAAAATTTCACTTAATTATAAATTAATGAATTTTTAAACTTAAAAATTAAATAAATAAAAATTATTGTTATAATAATATAATTACTATCCAAATTACGATCCACGCGTATGATACGCGTCATTATAATCTATTGACTTGTATTGACTGTTTCACATTAACGCGTATCGTATGCTGCGTATTTTATTTTCAAAAAGTATTGTGTCAATTTGAAAATTTAAATAAGTAAAAATAAAAAGTAGATATGTCACAGTTCAATATTGATACCGAACTTCTCATCATTGAAGTGGAGTCCCGAAGAAATTTGTGGCACGCTGGTGATGAAGAATATAAAGATAGAGATATTCGTCTAAAAAGTTGGCAAGAAGTAGCAACAAATCTAATTGATAACTTCGAAGACTTTTTAGAACTCATTGTACAACTATCTGGTAAGCAAAGGCCACAAGACTTTCGTCTTCAAGCGTCAAAACTCGAATGTCGTCTAGCGGTGAGTATAAATTAAAAATATCATATGAAACGCGTAGACGATACGCGTAGATGTGAAAACGCAGAAACAGAGCGTATGAAAACGCTCTTTTCAGGCATTTTCATCGGTCGCGTTCCATACGCGCGGCTGTGAAACGGGCTTTAGACGCACGATTGACAATTTGAATTTTTGCGACGCAACTGAGTAGGTATTCCATACAACTACAAAACTCAGTCGCAAGAGACGCGCAGCAGGTATATAATCTATATTGTTATCATAAGACATTTTAAAATTATATAGGTAAATCAAATAAACAGTATCAAATTAACAAGTCGACGATAATCGATCACGCGTCTAGTGCGTTTTGACCACCTACCAAGCGGTCGTCAGTTGCGCGGCGGTGTTGGGAATAGGTTTCATTTAAAAATAGGAAAAGCCGTTAAAATTAGAGTCGCGCGTTTACAGACGCGCACTAAGTAGTCGCACCTTTAATATATACAATGAACAGGAATTATAAAATGTAATTGATAAGAATGACAATACTTAACAAATGTGAATAGAATAGACAAATAATATTAGACATATATTATCTGTCTCATCGTTGCTCTCGTCGGGGTGTGCCCCCAAAAATATTATTTAAATTTAAATATCTAATATTTATAACAATTTATTTTAAAACTTTAATTGATGGAATACTGAGGTCTGTTAAAGTTGTAATAGTTTTTATACACTCTCACGTAACTTTCAAAATGATTTTTACTCAAATTATTATTCTATGGCGCATGTTAGAATATAATTATCTACAAATACAAGAATGTATTTTTATTTGAAATATGAATTAAAAAATATTAAAAATTATGTCTTATAACAATAAATAATATTTATAAATACTTCTTAATCGCGACAAAAGAAGTACGTTATAAAAGACTTAGTTTCCTGGTGCCTGGAGGCCGGCGGAAATATAATTTATATTGTAATTTTAAACATTATTTATGTACTAAAGAAAACATAAGTAAATATTATTAAAAACGTCATACTTTAAATTATAACCAAAAATTAATACTCTAATGACAAAAGAAAAAATGAAAAGGGGTATCCAGAAGTCTAGACTACTTATGCAGACGAAATAAAAAAATATATAATAAAAAAATTACTAAAACAGTTTTTGTCAACGGGTTCCTTACCATGAGATTGACCCGAATGGCGGTAACATGTGTCCAAAATACCCAAAGGAATAAAATGGATTTTGTATGACTAAACGGGTAACTTACTATAATACGAATAAGAAAACAAGAATGTGTCTATTTGGTAAATGACGTAAAGCGCCGACGTACTATTACAAATAAATACTAATGACATACAGCATTAGGGACGGGCGCCCATGGGGTGGAAAATATAAAGCTAATAATACTAATAATAATCATATACAACATATATAAAAAAAGATGCCGTATCGACAATAATACAATAATATTTTGTTAATACAACCATAAAGAAAAACCTGTCCGTGACGGATACAACTGAACTGGATTCAGCAGCACGTCCAAAATGACGTTAAAACGATGACGCCCACGCAACTTGACTCGTCCAGCCGTAACATTCTGATGCTTCTCACATTAATATATCCAAGCAAGTTGTTACGCTTTGTTTTGCCAATGTCTTCATTTAAAGAGGTTTTCTTTCTGTTTTTATTATTTCCGCGACCCAGCTGCGTATTAAGATATTCAGGACGCTACAACGTGTCTCTTTAATATCGTGTTCTAATCGGCCAATTCAAATTTTGGGCGTTTTTCTAATATGGACATTATCTATTATCAATAAGCTCGTTGTTTTTACTCATTAAAACTAGATACATCTATACAGTGTGTTCAACGATAAAAGTAACACGAACTATTTTGAAAGCATGACCTTATATGCCATTCAAATTTTTTATAATTCATAGAGGACATAAAATTACATTTTTAATAAATCTATATTTTTTAAAACAAAAATTTTGCGAATGCACAACACAATTTTTTTTTTTTAATGACAGCCCTATTTTTGAGTTCAAATTTGAATTATGTGAATTTTTTCAAGCAACTTTGACATTTAAAGATTTGCTCTACAAAATTGACTGATTGAGAATGAATTAAATTTTCGATTTATAACATTTGTATTTATCGTATTTTTCAACAGTCTACTTAGAGTTATACAAATTTATAAGTGATTCCGTATGAATTTTTCTTAAAAATTAAGTGTACTGCCATAAGTACAAGTAATTTACATTACTTCTACAGAAATATTAATATTAATATAATTTCTTGTAAGTGGTATAATTTTAGTTGATTAAAACTAACACATAAACAAACAAACCAACACATATTCTATTATTTTAATTCAGTTTTAAAATAATTTGATTTTAATGAACAATTAAATTATGTACAGATGAGTTTTGATTAAATTTTACAGTTGATCGTATAAATTGCTCGAAGTTATTACCATTATTTGCAATGCATGTTTCACAATATCGCAATACTTCTGTCACAGAAAGTATTTGTTCCTCGTTTAACTGTGCACATGCAATAATTATTGATTTTTCAAATCTTGAAGATCATTTAGTGAGTTGTAATAGATTTATAAATACTATGCTTAAAGGCTGGAATTAGATAATTTAATTCTTTATCAAAACTCAATAAGTATGATTGTATATTAATTAGAAAAAAATTCTCGAGAAGAGTATTCGATTATTAGTCTATGATATGGAATAATTTTAACATTTTCTACGGACGTAAAAATTCCTTGTTCCACCTCTAGTCATCGAAATCAAAATTCTTAACTCATTAGAAATTGTACTTTATTGTTACAAAAATCGGATATAGACTTACTTAAAGCTTTTGAACTGCTTCAAACGGCCTTAAATAAAATGAAAGAAAATGCGTGATCATTTTGAAGTATTTGAGGAAGCTGAACAAATAGCAACTTCGTGGGGAGCCAACATTCAAGAACATGAGAAAAAGAATAACTACTAAATATTTTGATGAATTAAGTAGAGATGAACATCTCTTTGATGCTGAACAATACTTTAAAACACAAATTAGTACCGTACTCTCGATATTTTTGAAAAACTAAAACACCATTTCAATGGTATGAACAAAATAATAAAATTCTTTGCTTCCATAATACTAATTAACATATGTTAAATGAATGAAAGTGAACTTAAACATTCAGCTACCTTTTTAGTAGGCAATTAAGAAAATATAGATTAATAAATAATTAATAGATTTAATGAACCAAATTATTCAATTATAACAAACGTTTGAAAATCAAATTTCAAAATTAAATTCTGTATTTGACTTGTCAAAATTTATAAAGATAGACAATTATTTAAGTGGCAAATGTGTCAGATTTACGTACAGCTTAATTTCTTTTTTAATAATACCAGTGACGGTAGCAAATGCAAAAAGTAAGTAGTATTAAATAATTTAAAATAATTAAAAACAATCTTCAAAGTACAAAGTACCAAATTCGTTTGTCAAGTTTAGCTATATTATCAATAGAAAACTGTCAAAAAATTAACATATCAGATATAATATCTACTTTAGCAAATAAGAAGTCCAGAAAAATGTTTTAAGTTTATAGTTTTAATTGTTATTCATTGCAATTGTAATTTACCTATTTTGTTAGACATCAATAATATTAAGTATTAAATTAATAATACTTATTATTAATTAAATGATTCTAAAATAATAAGTGTTATCACATTTACAAACAACAATGATAAAGGGTATCTCATCAGAGTGCATTAATTAACTTCAAATAGGATTCAGCTATAGTAGTGTAATCAAGATTTATTTTCAGTAGAGGGGGTTATATAATAGAAAAAACTGAATTTTGGAAGGTTAGGTGGGCGAACAAGGTCTAAGGTTAAGTTATACAAATAAGGGGTTACGACCCTCCCCAGTTGGGTAACTACACGGAAAATCAGAGTACTAACTTCTTAGAGTAGTTTTATTGGTTACCAATTAAAATATAAAATTTCAATATAATCATAAACATAATTCCAAAATCACAATGTGGAAAACAAAATCAGATAATTTAACCAGTCTTTGAAGATTAAAAGTTAATAATCAGCATTAAGTTTAATAAGAACTCATAATGTAACCTGCAATTAATATACTATATATTTAGAATGAAACAATATTGTATGTAATATTCGATTTATATTAATAAATTTATACTTAATACTTTTATAAAATTGTATGATAAAGAATTATGAAAATATAATAAAACAAAATATTTACAAGAAAAAAAATTACAAATCATTTTTCAACTTATTAATTAAATCTGAAAGTTCACATTCATCAATGCTCACTAAGGTATGAGCAAGACTTATCCATGTAACACAGTTCTCATATAATTTGAATGGTCGTTTAACATTACAAAACAATAATTTAAGAAAATCATATAAAAAGTTTAAATGAAGACTAGGGGCTTGTTTAAATGATTCGTTCGCAGTTAATTCCATGAACTTTTTGCATTCCTTTCCAACAGTGCCTGCCACATTCACATTCAGTAGATTTCTAAAATGAATAAGAGAAAAAGTTAAATTTGATGAACTCAAGTATAGTAATTTTCAACCTACAATGAAGTTAAGCGATTAGGTAAGAAACGGTTAGTAGGCCAGTTTTCAACACAAGCCTGACATTCACAATTAAACTTGAAAAGATCTGACAACTCACTAATTCTAGTTTCTTTATTTTGTTCCTTGAAATCAACACCATACGACATCAATAACTGTATCAAAAGAAATATCAATCATATAAAATAAATTAGTCGAGTAGGAATAATACATACATGAGTAATAATTTAAGTAAAATTAAAAAAGTAGTAAAAAGTAATGTCAAAATAATTTGAATTTGTATAAGCATATAAAAATATCAATTATCTTGGAAAACTAGGTCCTTAAGTTATAAGCTAACAAGTACTGAAATCCCATTTTAAGTTTATACCTCTTAATTGTTTTAGTCAAATATCAGTATTTAATTTAAATCATGTTTACATTAAATTTGTAAATAAAAGTTTTCAAAGATATTAAAGGACAAATCATAAGATTTTATGCATTTTTTAGATTAAATTAGGTTTTTTTAAATGTGAAGGGAAGCAGATTCTAGCACATTTTTAGGTATTTCGATAGCTATTATCTTTCCTAATTTATTTCATACCTATAGACATAAATATTTGTCCTTATTTATTTTACAGTCTATTACTATAGTACAAACAATGTTTTAAGTGCTTAAATAATCTCTTCACACTGGTATATAAAAAAAGTATAATGAAACTTCCTGGTGGAAAATTAATAAATCAACTAATATATAATAAAAATTGTAAGTAATCAAATCATCAATTGCATTCTATGTATAACTCATTTGATTTTTTTCCCTAATAATATCAGTTATTTATAAATTATCAGAACCCACAATTCGAAACTATTAATTTTTATTCAAATAAAATAATAGATTTAGCAGAAAATTCAAAATTCAACAATTGATAACGAGAGGTTTCTGATTAGTTATTATATTTAGTTGGCACTTGAATTTCAGAATAGATTAACAAATAATTGATAATGAAAAAATAATGTTTTTTCATTATAATTAAATAAAAATCATATAAAATTGCTAATATTTTTAGTTTGTTATTATGTTCTACTATTATTGACATGCAATGTCTAATTTAATGTCTATGCCATAATTCATTGTTAAGCCATTGAATATATTTTTTTTTTGTTGAGCTATAAAAGTTCTTTCTTACTGAAAGCCCTTAGTAAAAAAATAAGAATAAAAACTATAATCACCTGACTTCCTTTAGGAATCGGTTGTATTACTTTCATAACTCTAATTCTGTCACTCAAATTTCCACTGCCTCGTATATTTGGATCACAGGAATGATTAAATAAATATATTGTAGGATATAAAGAATATGCAGTTGGTACAGAAGAACGTTTAGTCATTTGAGCAGGTATACAAGGTGAAATCACAGTGAGCTTTCGACAATGTACATCCAAAATTAGTAACATACGTACCAAAGAAGCACCAATTGTATTTAAATAACGGTTTGGGATATCAATACCGCTTATCATCAAATACTCGGACATTACTGCACCAAGGCAAAAATAAAATAGCAGTAAATCCATTGATATTTCTTTTTCATTGCAATGCATAGAAAAAGCAGTAGCAAAATTTTCAGAACTGTAAACATGAGAATCACTGAAACCTCTAACCATTGGCTCTTTATTATTCTCAAGCAATTTTTTAACCAATACATAATAATTAACAAAATTCAATTTGAAATATTCCCGGACAAACCATCTTATGGCTAGTTGATTTAACTTTGTATCCCCTGGTAAGGAATTGATGGAAAACATAATTGGACATTCCAATGTATGTCCATCTTCATTAGCCTTTTGCATACATTCTTCACCACAAAAATAAACCTGTAAAAAAGTCAACCATTTACATTTTCTTCTCATTAACCTTACACATAAGGTTATAAATAACTAAATTACAACAAACTCTCAATTTAAATACACAATACAAATTTTGAGGATAAACATTTTTTAGAAAAAAAAAAACTTGTCAATTGAATTAAATTACAACATATTATGGTAAAATGTAACTTGAACCCTAAAAGCTAGTATGTAAGTAAGCTAATATGTATTGCTGCTTCCTATACTACTACTGGCAATTATTAATCATAGCACATGCATTGTTAGTTTAAGTTGCAAGTGATATAAAGATAAAAATTGAAATTTAATTTAAAGACCTATATTCTCAAAAATTTGAATAGCATCAGGTTGTTGTCAATTATCAAAATACTAAGTTAGTTATAAACAAATGTCAATAAATTTATAACTTACTAATGAACAATTTGGACAGGGTATAATAGAGCAAGTCAGTTTCATACACTTGTCATAATGGCACAATAAACTATTATGTGGAGAAGCACCACTTATATAAGGTTCATCAACAGCAACAACATCACCTATAAATCATATATAATGAACAAAAATCTAATATTAAGATTTTAATACTTGTTCAAGGTACATTAAGCTAGAGTCAATTTACAATTATGTAACAATTAACTTAAATTATTCAACTTTTCCTTAACTTACCAACTTGAGCCCAGTACGGCCTAACTTTTGAAGTTCAAGCCTGTCCAAAATACAATTTTACTAATGATACCCAGCCCGACCCGATTTAATTAACTTAGATATATGATCCAGGCCAGTCCAATACGTTAAATAAACTTAAATATATACAATATAGCCAGTCCCACTCCAAAATTTCACTGAAATATATGGCCTTGGCCATATTCAAATAGTTTAAAAACACTACTTTACAGTGTACACTGTTACCAATTACTACTTACAACCTAATACCTACATTGTGTTAAGTAAATAAACGACCAGTCTTCGATACACCCGTGCCTACACACTTCACGTATGGATTACGATTAATATATGACGCACTTCGATCATTATTCACAATAAGCAATACGAGATACAAAAACAATCAAAATAATAAACATTAGAAAATGTATTATAAACTGTCAATACATTTAACTCGTCCCATTGATCAGTAATATAAATGATAACCGAGTACAAAATAAGGACTGTACTATTGAGAATAGTATTCCCAAAGTTATAGATTATTTTAAAATACGTATTTCTGAATTTTATGTTATCAGTAATTCGTTACAATACAAATCAAATGATAAATTAGATTTAAATGAAATATTTATCAATATCATAAACGAAGCCCTGCTTTACCCATTTAAACAAAATTGACCCGGCACAGCCCAAACCCGGTTTTGGTGACACCAAGCTCAGCCCAGGCCAGGATGGCCCATTCTGTGCAGGGCTCTACCTACTACCTGCATCAGTCGCGTAAACCGAAAATATTTTTTCGAGATGGACTACTGTGTTAAATTACCACTACTATCTAAGAATTTTTTAACAAGACTTGTAGGTACTTATCTAAATTTTATTTACAAAATGTCCCAAAAAGATTTAACGTTGGACGCAAATTCTAAATAAGCGTAAAGCACCATTAAAATATAACATACTTTTAAAAATAATTTTTAAGTTTAAGACATTTGAGGGGAGGGGGTGAAGCCCACTAAGCTCTCCCTATATACGCCACTGCATGCATGAATATATTAATTTGACAAATTAACAAAGTAATGCAAGGAAATGTATAAAATAGATAGTATAAAAGTATAAATAATATATATATATATATATATATTACCTACATGTTTTAGTTATTTTATAAATTATCTAATTATTTCATAAACTACAGATTCAATTATTTAACTACAATATACATATATATATATAATTAATACATTATAAAATCTGTGGATTATTATTTCATGACTGGCAATATCTAATTCTTAATATACATTTTTTTCAATTTCTTTTATTAAAACTTAATATTTGTTGGTAACAGATTCTAAAATAATATAAACATAGTTAGGGTAGCCAGATTTTGAAATCCCTAAACTGGAACATTATATGGAAACAAAAAAGTATATAATTTTTTAATTTAAATATTTATTAGCTAATAGAAAATACATTATTTTTGTACCTAACTATGCCATATAGATAACCATAATATAATAAACAATATTGTTTCATGTTTCATTATTAAATAATACAATATTAATGTTATTTTCTGTTTCAATTAACTGGATCAAATGATCAGTTGGGACTCCAGGACACACATTCAAAACCGGGATGAATGGCAAGCCAAAATATAACAAATGAGCAAAGATTTACCTGGGTTAATGTCTTCTGTAGCAAATACACCTCTTCCCATTGTTGGAGAGCACTTAAGTTCAACCAATTTAGAAAGTGCTGGGATGAAAGGATGTCTTCCACCAGTTAATTGTTCAATAGAAGGTTGATTTTCAGGAAAATTCCGCTCTTCCAAACCATTACAGTTTTCAATACACTCTTTTAATAACTTTTTGTACCGAGACCTCTGCTCTGCTGTCATAACACCGTCATCTAGACGCTTTAAACACTCACTATAATTAAATTTGGCTTTTTCTCCTCGTCCTAAATTGTATTCAGCATGACCAGCCCGCTCATACAACTTGTATAACAATTTTGTTGGGTACTTTGACTTTATCGCTCGGGGTATGTCAGCTAGACAGAGCTCATACCTAGAAAAATGTCAATAGAAATGTACAGATAAAAATAATCAGAAAAATAGGAAATGTTAAACATAACAAAAAACTTTAAAATAGTTTCATTTAATCTCACAAATAGTTATTGTAAGCCAATTTTATTAGTAATTGATAATTATGAATTTTTTAATGGATATGAAGACATTGATGTTACCAACATAAGATAGAGATGGGCAAGATACTTGAAAAAATATATCTAAATATAATGACGGGTTACACAAGGCTGATAAAACAGGAACATTTCATCAACAACATCTAAATTGGTGACAGAACGTTTTGGAATCCACTCAAAAGCGTTTTTGTTTTCAGCGACTTTTGCCTGTTTGGTGTAACAGGTATGATGCGATAATTAGCAATTGGTATTTTAAAATATAAACGAAGTATAATTATATCTAACATTTTTATTCGTATATGTTTCCAATTTATTACTTTAAGTATAAACAAAAAGTTGTTTTATTGTTGTTTCCAATTTGTTACTAGATTAGAAAAATTAAGCTGTGTTTTTGTTGTGTAAGCCTAGTAAAAATGTGCCATTAGATACGTCAATTTCTCCTAAAAATATGATACAATTGAAATTTCTCAAGATACAAAATAGTAGATACATTTTTTGTACAGTTTTAAACACAAAATCTTTTCTTTTTATTTTAATATTTAAGTAGGAAAAGTAATAAAATTCATAAAATTTTCCATACCGTTTACTTTAAATAAAATTAAAAAACATGAACGTTTTAATATAAGCTACAGTAATAATACCCATTATCTTTTTTTTGGATTATATAAAATATAAATCAAATCAATTTAAATTAATTCTTTACTTATTACTTTATTTAAAAAATAACAATTATTTTTAAGAAATATTAAATTTTTGAACATTTTATCACAGAATCAAAAGCTTGACGAAAATGAAGCTAAACAAAAAAAAAGAAAAACATTTTTATAACTGGCACTGAATAACACAAATTATGTTTTAAAGCAAATAAATAATTTAGCCTAATTTACCTAAAGTAGGTCTATACTTAGAAACATGTTTTCAACATACTATGTCTGTTTGAAACATGATTTCAATTAATTATATCAGTAACCTATATACATAAGGCAAATGTAAATATACTTTTATTTTTTCTCAGAAAAAATATATTTTCATTTGTATCTTGTATATTTATGTCATCAAAATTTAAATACAAAATACACAGCCATAAAGAGTATCTGGATACAAGATATAACTCACATGTTAAAAGATAAAATACAAATGAATCGAAGGTACTCTATATTCCTGAATATAACTTAACCTTAAAAAAAAAAAAAATCAGAAATTTGGGTGCATATATATGTATAGGCAGATTTTAAAATAAGGGAATATGCAAGGAAAGTCAGTCTTCTTACCTCTCATAGTGCTTATAAAATATTTTATTTAACATTTTTCTCTAAACACTCAACTAAAAAATTCACATGCAATAGTTGAAAAATTGGCTTTACAATTTAGTTTATGTCACTACCTATGTATTAAACAGTGTTCTACAAAACTAATACTAAATAAAAATCATAAGGTATTATGATGTATGTTTTTTTTTTTGCTTTATTAAAATATATTTATAATCTATTATATAAAATAATAATTTAAAACTTTTAAATGTTAAAACTTTAAACATTTATACAGTACATGAATAGTATGTGAAGAAAATAGTTCTGTAATACCTCAAATATATATACCTATTTATAATTACTTAGTAATTATATGGGCCTATATGGAACACTGATAATGATATATGGATTATAATCCCGCTGCCTTTTATTGCCACTATAAACCCTGTTCATAGTTAAGTACAAAACAATAAAATTACCAATAATACAGCTTTTAAATATCATGTTTAATCACAAAAAAAGTGTAAGATATTTAACTATCTCTCAAAATAAGAGATCATGAAAACTCGTGTTACTGAAAATTTTAAATCCGATGTGGTTAAATGTGTTGAAATAGATAAAGAAATATAAAATTGGAAAACAAAAGGGGAAAAAAAAATATTTAGTTGTACTAACTGCGATTGTAACAAAAATACACCAAAAATTTAAAATTTGTTGTTAGCACTGATGGAAGAGCTTAGTTAAACAATTTTAATTAAAGAGTAAAATCAATAATAAAAAGATTACTTCAGATATAAATACGGAACAAAAATAAAAATAAAAAACTTATCAACGCAAAACTCTTTAACCGTCAGGTAATTGAATTCATTCCAACATGCATTTAACGTTCAGAAAGAGGAACTCAAGGATTAGAAACTATCGACGGTGTTGACACGGGAAAAAAATTTGTCGGTAAAATAGATTAAAAGTCGATGATAAAAATTAGATGAATCCAAAACGCGAAGTTGTACCGGTACCAATTTGAAGCGTACGACGAAAGGGTATACACCTACCGGTTAAGGTGGAAGTACGCCGCGGACCGGTTGGCCAACGCGTACGCGTGCTGAACGGTGCCGGGCTCGGTTCCGACCACGCACTTCATATACTCGTTGAGCGCCGCCACATAGTCGCGGCAACGGAAATGATCGTTGCCTATGCGTCGCACCATGTCCGTCATCTCGCGGTTGAACACTACCTCCACGCAGGGCTGTACTAACTCCGTGGGCAGCATGCTGTGTTCCTTGAGCAGATCGCGCACGTACGAGAACCGAAGTTCCGGCGAGTGCAGACCGGCCAGCGTCTTGTAGACGTCGCCCAGCGAGCCGGTCATCTGGAACCGTTTGCTGTAGTACGAGAAATCGGGATCCATGGTTGAGACCGACGATGAACACCACACTGTCGAGATTGCAATTGCCGAGATGAAAAACTCTGTCTTTATGTTCCGGACGGAGAGCAGACGACAATGGACAAAAGCGCGACGACGAAATGATCGCCGGTGCGTCGAGTCGGGATGATGGAGCCGCGAACGCGCCCCGGACCAACGCGCATTGCCAACCTAAATCGCCCCGACGGAACCGATGCGACGGACTTTACGGACGAACTTACGACTCGTTCATCGCGATCGTTGGTTGGCGGGAGTGTTTCGTTCGTACATTCGCCGGGCGGCGTAAATTTTTCCCGGAACCGGCTCGGACATCGGATACCGCGAAATCAAACGGAAAAACCCCGAGACTATTTATGACTTATAAACTACGCGGCGAACACAAAGCATACGCGAAGGGAATAGACGTTCTCGATAAATCACGAAAATAGTTTTGAACGAGAAAAATATAATTCTCTTCCTGCGTTGTAGAACACGACGAGATACGTGTTACAGGTAATTTAGACTTCGATTTCCGATAGGAACAAGGCCGGGAAGAAACTCATCACTTATCGATTTGAACTAGCGTTTTCACTTTCCATTATACGAATGGGCTATAATAATGTTAATAAAATGAAAGTTATTACTCGACGGACGATATGGAATTTCGATTGCATATTATTATTAAAATAATAAAATATCCAATATAAAATATCGATGCTTTATTATTTTGTGTATAATGTACGTTAAAGAATTTTACACTAGTATTTTTTTGTTAATAATTATACCAATCTCGTTTTGCTACGATTATTTTTAATTGAAAAGTTATACAATTCATTCTCATACTATACATTATTATGGCGTATAACTTAACATATATGTTAAGGTATACACATAACATTTTACAATTCGCATAGGTATGTAGTGATGTTAAAATAAGGAATTTTATTTATTTTTTGTATAACACCGTATTATACCAGTATTATACCGTATAGAACCTTGCAGTACCTTAAATTAGAAGAAATTTAACAAAGGTTATCCCATTTTTAATTATGAAAAATAAATTATTTTAAAATAGAATAATTAAAAAAAATGGATAACAAGTTAGAAAAAATTAAAAAAACACATAATACAAGAATTATTCACCAAATTCATCAAATTAATATTTAGTTATGTTATCGATTTGCAATTATGATATAGGTAACATACGTATGTATGTTATACATAGAAATACATATTTTTTAAATAGAAATAAAGAGAAAACTATACTTAATACTTTTATACTTATTTATTATCTCATTTTACCCATATATTTACAATATTTGATTATTATAATAGTACAATAAATTGATTTTAGTCATTTTTAACACCTGGATTCTAAATTAATACGATTACAATAATATTGTATACTTTAATTTTTATAATAATACTGTACTTTATTGGAGATCCATTCTATAAGTACAACTAAAAAATTAATAGTTGAGTTACTATAAATAACTAAAAATAACCCTTTAATTTTTTTTTTTTTTTATACTGTCTGTATAAAATAATTTTATACCATATATATAATACCTTGTACAATAGTTTTATACCACTGTATAATACAAACTCGCATCACTACGCATATGAATGTAAAATTTGTTTTCTTAAAATTATCTTTCACACATATATTAAACCTACTTAATAACCATATGATTATTTAAAATGTATAAAATAAATTATGATACGAGCAGTGTAAATCAAATTATGTTTTAGTATATTCATATTATGATTTTATGCACTGTTAAAATGCTGTCGTATATTTCAAAATCAGTTTGTCCATTATTACCAAAATCAATATACAAACAATTACACTTAAAAGTGTCTTTAAAATCTCGGTTTTATGTTTCATTAGGTTAACAATATAAGTTTTATAAAATTTATTTTGTCAAAAAATCACTTACATAAGTTTGACTTATTTTACTTTCACAAAATTCATTATCGTGAAATCCCTTTTATAGAAAGAAAAAAAATAATAATTGAACCAGACATTCTTCTTTTTGTAGAACCAGTGGTGCCGGAACAATTTTTGAACAGTGGAGGCTTACCACAGCTACAAATACAAAGGAAAGTAAAGTAAAGAAGAAAAACCTTTCAATTACTTTTTTCCAATTTTGAAATCAATGTCAATAAATGTAATATAGTTTTCTTTTTTTTTGTTTGACGAGCTAAAGCACAAGGGTAACATAAAACCATATATTTTTCATTTACATAATGAAGTCAGGAATACTTGTCGAACCATTTTGATTAACTAGACCTTCCATTTGTTTTAGAAAAAATAAACTTTTTTTTAGTATTAACTTTTCAATCAAATTTAAATTTTTTATTGATACGGGATAGTGCAATCAATTTGAATGGGTGGCAATGTGTATTACTTCTAATGTTGATGATCTTGGTTGTACATTTTCATTTTCTAGTTAAAAATTTAAATAATTAATTAAAAAACTGTCTATAAATTGAACACATTTTTTTATTTTTTTAACATAATTTTATATTTAACAATCAAATTTGAACAATAACAACAATAATTGATATAACAATAAATAGCAAAGGAATAATAGAAAGAAGAGATCTCCCATTGGAGATAATAATAAATATAATAAATTGAACATATAATGCATTATTTGTTTAAAATATTGTTCAATTTATTATAACATTAAAAATACGTTATAAGTCGGAATAAATACATACGTATCGTATTATTATTATTTAAAAACAACCCATGGAGTACAATAACTGAATCGGTATTTCCGTCGAAGTACCAATGGGCACACGTGTTATCGTTAGGCGTGAGTGAGTGAAGCGCTTCACCTATTGAATTTTTAGTATACAAATGTTATATATAATTAAGTTTAACGACATTTATTTTGAAAATACGCGCCTTGGGAATGATGTAGATATTGTAAGCTCGTGATATGCCAAGCATAGTATTAGGCTTGGTACAACAAACACGTCGCCCGAAGCTCGCCGTGGGAACCCGCCATAATACATTTATGCATATTAGTATCACAGTAGTACACTAGTACCTACTACCACTATACAGTATACCTAATATGTTTTTCTACCATTATATGAATACATCATAACTATACAGTTGTACTTAATAAAAACAACATATTTTTTATGATAGAGGCGGTCAAAGGGGGCAACTGCCACCGGTGGCAAAATAGTAATAGTAGGAAATTCATTAAAATACACTGAATAATCATCGAAAAAAAGTTTAATCATACTAAACGTATCAAAAGAAAGACTTCGTTGGCAATCATTTAGATGATACACAACAATAATAAGAATATTATTTTAACTGCCAAACAAGCTCATCGAATATTTGATAAATGTTATCGCTATAAATATCTGTAGTATTTTCCGATAATAACAATAAATAATGGCTTTGTAAATGTACTGGAATCATTGTCGTTGCCTAAATGTAAAAGATTTGTAGGTCGCTTAAAATAATCAAAATTACGTTTCATATATAACCGGTAACATGGAGATTTCCATGAATTTATATGTACACTTGAGTTATAGTCGTGTTCTCACGTTAATCTAATGAACCAACTTGGCATAGGTTTTTAATACTATAAATTTAATGGAAATTAAAACAAACCGTTCTGAAAAAAAAGATTTATTTTAATCAATGATAAAAAAATACTCAGACTATAGAATTTTCTAGTAAAACTAAATAAAATTTCATTGTATGTCAAAAAAATATTAGTAGACGGTACTTTCAATTACCTACTGTACAAAATATTTTTTTCAGTTATTTACCATTCACGGTTTTAAAAATTAAAATTATGTACCATTAGTTTTTGCATTGCTTCCTGACAAACATAGTCAAACATACAGCTCATTATCAGGGACGCCCACAGAAATGTAGCTCAGGGGGGGCAAAAAAATTGTAAGTACCTAAATACTTATAGAAAGATTTACTGCTACATATTTCATCTACTCATATTTTGTATTACTATCATTAATAATTTTTTAAAAATCAAAACTCATTTAAGTTTATATAAAATTACATTATAAGTTATTAGTTTTAATATTTATAAGAAAAAATATAATAAAGTTTAAACAAAAAACAACTTTATTTGATTGAATTCGCATCATATTTTATTATTTTATTCAAAAAGTAATGACAATCTCCTTTTGTTTGAAGCAAATAAATTAATTGAATCATCATTTGTTGATTAAAAAAAAAGTTAGATACTTGTTAGATACAAGGATTGTCGAATAGTCACTGAATACCCAAGATCAGCTTTATGTAAAATAACTTCCAATTTTGTAAGTGACGCGAAAATCTCAGGGGGGGGCAATGGCCCCCACTGGCCCCTCCCATCCGGGCGTCCCTGCTCATTATTTTCAAAAACAAAAAAAGATTTGTCTGAGTTATAATTTACTATTCCAACTGTTTACAGTTGTATCTGATTTCGAAGTTTCTATTCATAATGCAATTCAAAATAAGTGGCCGACAGTGAAGAGTAGTGGTTGAAATTTTCATTTGTGCCAAAATTGGTTTAGAAAAATTCAACATTAAGGCCTAACGAATCATTATAATAATGATGAATCGGAAATTTGTCCTAGTATCCTAGTACAAACATTTGGTTTACCATTCTTGGATTTTATTTATATTGAAAATTGTTTTATATTTGATCTGTTGAAAATTAAACCATCTGACAACAACATGGAACAATATTACGATTATTTATTTGAAAATGACATGTTATCATATTCAGTTTTTCCACCAAAATTATGGTCAAATAATGATACTTCAACTAACCTAACAATTATTTGATTATTATTTTTTTCAGTGCAATTACGGTTGCGGCCGACCACCGCGGACCACCATCAGGGCCGGCCTTAGGGTAGGTCATCTGGGACATTTGTCCTAGGTCCCATGCGAATTTTAAGGCCTCACGCTTAATAATAGTTATTATAACACTTATTTGACGGTCGAAGCTTATATGTGTCTTATCGCATCAGATCGCTGACGTCCGACGCCAGCAATTAATTTGGCCAACATAAATTGCGACCCGTATTTTTCTGCTGTAAATTTTTATGTAGTAAATTGCGCCCGGTGTTTTTCAGGTACAAATTTCTGTATAGTAAATTGCGCCCAATAGAAATATTATTTTTAAGATAGTCATTTAGCATTACCCAGAGGACACCACGAGGAGGACTATCACTGACTATCACTATTCTCCAAAAATGTTTTTTTTTTGTTTACT